GGGGAGACTGAGGGGGAAAGGGACTTTGTTTTGGAGACAGGCTGAGGAGGTGGCAAAGGTGGGATCTTGGCAGGCAGTGTTGAGGGGGATGTGAGTGCGTGAGCTTGTGTACACTTGTGAGTGTGTGCGTGTGTAAGTGTGCTTGTAAGGGTGTGAATGTGTGCACCTGTGTGTATGTGAGTGTGCCCTTGTGGGTGCACTTGTGAGTAGGTGTGTGCATGTGTGTGAACATGTGAGAGTGTTTGCTTGTGAGTGTGTGAGCATGTGTGTGTATACTTGTGAATGTGTGCATGTGTGAGCATGTGGATGTGTGCATGTGTATGTGAGTGTGCACTTGTGAGTGTGCCCTTGTGTGTGCACTTGTGAGTGGGTACACACATGAGTGTGTAAGCGTGTATACATGCGTGCACTTGTGAGTATGTGTACTTATGAGTGTGTACACATGTGCATGTGTGCTTATGGGTGTGTGTGCTTGTGTGAGTGAGCGTGTCTGAGCATATACATGTGTGCTTGTGAGTGTGTGTGAGCATGTGTGTGTGTGCTTGTGAGTGTGTGTGTGAGCATGTGCGCTCGTGAATGTGTGAGAGTATGTGTGTGCATCTGTGTATGAGCATGTGTGTCAGCGCACAGGCCTTTGTGTCATGAATCCCAGGCCCCTGTTTCAGGTCCGGCCCCTGGGACTGTGCATCCCCCTCCGCCGCTCAGTGCATCTGGTCCCTCTTCTGCCCCTGCTTCTGTCCCCAGAGACTCTGCAGGCCCTCCATGACTGGGAGTCTCTGCTCCTTGTAACTGAGAGTGACCAGAGGAGGCCAGGGTGCCACCACGTGATTTGTGTGGGTCGCGCATGGGTCTAAAAATAACCTGTCCTGGGGCCAGGAGCCACCAGTCGCGTCCTGGCTGGTCCCTCACTCTGGAAGGTGGAGCTCATTCCTCCCCAACCCTGATCACACCAACCCTCTGGGAGCTGACACAGGGTGGCGCTGGATGCATCAGGAGTCTGTGGGGTCAGGATTTTTGTCACTGGTTGAGGCCTGAGGCAGCTCCTGTGAGTGTGCAAGAGTGGGGTGGGCTCCCCCCGGCTGACTCTTGGGATGCTTGAGGGTGGGACGTATGGGCACCGGATCCTGGGGTGATGTGGTTGTGTCTCCATGTTGTGTTGGTGAATCAGGGCAGCTGGCGTGAGGTCCTGTGGCGGCAGTGGTGGGAGCTCGGGAGATGTGGCCTTTTGGTCACACCATCTCGAGTTATATCCTGGCTCTGTACTTGGTGACTGTGAGTCCTTGACAAGCCATTTAGTCCCCTGATCTGTAAAACGGGCACAGAGTAGTATCCGCCTCTTGGCGCTGTGAGGGTTTAATGAGCTGATCATGGGAGCTGCTGAGTGACTTGGGTGAGTTACCTGCTGTCTCCAGGCCTTTGTTTTCTTGCCTGTAAGATGGGCTGGTGTTGACACAAAGTATGGAAGGGTGGGGTGAGGAGGCTTGAGAGGTGTCCATGCTGCAAGGACAGCTGTAATAACATGCCCCTGCACCCAATGTTTCCCCAGGCTCGCGGCTCTGCGGGGGGCAGGAGGAGGCATGACGCCGCCTCTCAGGAAGACCATGACAAGCCTTACGTCTGTGACAGTAAGTAGGGGTGCCCCACCCTCTACAAAGGCGACCCCCCTGTACTGCTTGACTGTCCCCAGGATCTGGGCACCCCTGGATTCTGCCCTGGCCACTACCTGCTCTTGCCGCTGGGTCCCCGTGCAGAAGATGCACCCCTTTCCCTGCAGTGCCAGCCCTCCTCTGTCTCTCCTTGTCTTTCTCTCTGTGTCTGTGTCTGTCTCTTTCTGCCTGCCTCTCTCTTTCTCTGTCTCCTCCCTCTTTCTGTTTCTCTCTCTTGCTCTGTCTGTCTCTTTTTCTGTCTTCTGTCTTTCTGTTTTTCTCTGTCTCTGTCTCTCTCTCTGTTTTTCTCCTTCCTTTTCTCTGTCTCTATCACTTCCTCTCTCTTTGTTTCTGTCTTTCTCTCTGTCTCTGTCTCCCCCTCCCTCTCTCTCTCTCCCTCTCTCCCTGTCTCTTTGTGTCTCTCTCTGTCTCCCTCTCTCTCACTTTCTCCCTGTCTCTCAGTCTCTCTCTCTTTCTCCACGTCTCTCTCTCTCTCTGTCTCCCTCTCTCTGTTTCTGTAGGATTCATTGTCTATGTCTTCCTGCATTCCAGAGAGTCACCCCTTCTTCCCCACCGAATCCTAGCAGGGCAGGTGACAACCACCCCCTTTAACCCCTCAGGCCCTCTTCAACCTTCCCTGCTACCTCCAGAAGCTCCTTTGGGATAAGAGGTTGCCTGGCCCAGGTGTGGGGTCTGCAGAGGATGAGGGCCCCCAAGGGAACCTGCAGTGTTGAGGGGATGGTCGGCTAGTAGCCACCATTGCCCAGAGTGCTGGGTGATAGGTCTGACACCCATGCCTCAGCGTCTCTGCGGCTGGGTGCCCTAGACCCCCAGAGGCAGCACCCTGAGCTGCATTCCCACCACCTCCCTCCATCTCTGGGGACTAGCTCTGCCGGGAAATGGCTGCTGTGAGCCTGTGACAGCGTGGGTGGGACCTGCACCTCCATGGGATGGTAGTGTGCAGGGCCTTGTCCTCTGTCTCCACTCACATCCTGATTTTAAGATGTCGTTCCATTGTCCTGGGGGTGTTGTAGGATGGGGATGTTGTGCTGGAAGAACCACACTCTGAGTGCATGGGTGCTTGGTGCACAGTCAAGGGTGTCCCTGGGAGGACCCTATGGGAGCATGTACACCTGGCAGGCCTGTCCAAGTGGGGGCAGGGCAGGCCCAGGCTCCAGGACAGGCTAAGCTGAGTGGCTGCCCCCTCAGAGAGCCTCTTTCTCATGCCTCTGCTGTGTATGGCGGGTCCCTGTGCTCCATCTCTGTGTCTCCCAATTCATCCTGACACCCAGACACCCCCGTGTGCCTCCTCTGATTCCCCATGGTGCCATCTCTTCCCGGCCTCTGCTCCTGCCTCCCTGTAGGTGTCTCGCAAGGCTTCTTGCCTGCACCCTGTTTCTGCACAAGGTGCTGCCTCTCCAGCCCTGTGCTTTGTCTGGGGCTCGGGGTGTGGTTTCCTGGCCCTTGGCGGCTGCAACCCTCTTCTTCCTGGGCCCGGCAGCATGATCTCCCCTCTTTCCCTGCTGGAACAGTTCACTGCCCTCCTCTGCGCCTCTCAGGACATGGCATGGCAGCTCGGTGATTAATAGACTTTATTTTTATCTGGTGCCCTTCAGACATGTGATCCTTTGGGATAGAAATGACCTTTGGAGAGGTCATAAGGCCCACCGCCCGCACCGGGCCAAGAGTGCTTTTTATAGTCTCTAATGCATCCTCAGTCCAGAGGTGTCTGGCTCCTCCGGGTGTCCCCAGGGATGGGGCTCTATAGCTGCCCCTTCTGCCTAGGGCCAGTGGTGTGCAGTGCTTGGGTTTCTTTCATGGGATCAGGGACTCATTCCTCCCATCTATACCTGAGCACGCCCGCCTGTTGGAGGGAGTGCCAGCCATGCGACCCCAAGAGCAGCAGGCTCTGTGTCAGCACAGCTCAGTCTGCAGACGTCCTCGTTTCTCCCACCCTTAAGGCTCCACAGTCCTCAGCTGGAGCTGCTCCCCTAAACCCCTTGGGCGTAGGCTCTCCCATGACACGGTGCGTGATCCTCCTTCCAAAGATGTTGCTGAGCTCAGCCCTCCCATGAGGCAGATCCAGTCATGGGTGACTTCAGAGTGCAGGATTCGACAAAGGCAAACTTGGAGACGCTGCCGAGAGTTCCGCTCTGGGCTCCCGATTTGCATCCTGCCATCCTGTAGCATCTGTGCTTTGCTCCATGCAACTTCCGCCCGCCACTGGTTATTTACAAGAACATCAGGCTGCCTGGGACCCGGCACCTGTCTGGGCTCATGTGGGGTGGAGGCACCTGTTTTTCAGATGTGACTGTACCTGACTCTTCCCGGCGAGTATTCCCTAAAGGGGCTGCCCCATGGGCTCTCTCCAGAGCCCCTCAGAATACGACTAGACTAGTGTCTAGGTGTGTATCCCCAATGGGGGTGCTCCATAGGCTCTTGTCAGGATCGCTCAGAATGTGACTGGACTCGGGTCTAGGTCTGGCTTCAGTGGCAGACAGTTGGCCACTGCCCTCATCCAGTCACCCCATCTGTCCCTTCTCAGAGAAATTTGGAATCACCTGGACAAAATGTGTTTTTTCCCCAGTCCACAGCATGTGCTTGGACACTTGACTTGCTCTGTCAGTTGTCTTGAATGTTTACCAAGACTAAGGACTAGGGCTCTGTCCCTTCTTGTAATCTATTACCTGAGAACATGGGCCCAGGACCCGGAAGCAAAGCAATGGGATGGGACTCTGGGAAAGACTGATGGTGTTCGCCAGGTGTAGACCTGGGCCAGCTGCTCAGCAATGCCTAGATGTTTACTGGAATTCAGATTCCTGGGCCCCCCACTGGCCCTCCTGAGTCAGAGCCACTGGGTGGGGCAGGCCCCGGAGTCCGAGTTTTCTAGAGTTGCTCAGGTGCCCTGACTTTTGAGAGTGTCTGGGCTACTTGTTCCAACATGGAGGCTCCTGACCTCTGTCCGCTGAGCCCTGGCATGGTCTTCACTGTCTGCAACTGGATGTTTGGGTCCAAGGAGCCCTCAAAACTGGCTGAGCTCCTGTTAAGTGGGTCACCTTGGAATCCTCTTTCTGGGCCTTTCTGATGGGTGTGAAACGTGGCAGCCTAGCCTTGGCTTCTGTCTCCTCGGGAGCTTCATTTCTCATGGTGTTGCCAGCCTGTTTGTGTGTGTGTGTTGTGGTGGGAGGGAACAGCTGCATGGAGGAGCCCTGCTGGGGAACCTGAGTCACTGGGTAGTTTCCTGGCTGCTCCCAGCTTGGTGTCCTGAGGATGCCATGGGGCCGACTCTTGACAAGAGACCCACTTTTCCATTTCTTTGTTCAGGAAACATCACAAGTCAGTGCTTATGGGCAAAGTTCAGGGACACCTTGTCCCTGAGCCTGGCCAGCTCTGGGGAGTAGGGAAGAAGGAAGGAACAGGGAATCTTCTCTTCTGCCCGTTTTCTCTGGGCCTCGGAAATAGTTCCTGTCAGTGGTGCTCTCAGGGTCAGAGCCCATACCGGCATCTTACAGACAATCTCTGTCAGCCCCCATGCTGGTCTTGGGAGCTGGGGATGACTGATTTCATGTTGCCATGGGGAAACCAAGGCTCAAAGCCTTGAGGGACTTGTTCCAGGTCCTGCAGCTGGAGATGCCATAGTAGCCGGGATGTAGGGTCTAGTGTCCCCCTCCGGGTCCCACCAGCCTGGGGCATCTCCTGAAAGCAGCTGCTGCACAGGCCTCTGCTGCAGAGTGTGTCCTCAATCCTGGAGCTTGGCTTCCACCCCGGAGCATGGCCCCTGAGCTGAGCACAAGGCCTCAAGGCGGAGAGCCAGTGTGCCTGACCCAGGGGCGAAACCCTGGCCACCATGGAGGCTGACTGCTGCAGGCTGGGTGGGCAGGGTGAGTTATGGGAGTCCAGGCTCTCAAGTTTAAGCCTGTTAGGATTACTCCTCCCCACGAGGGCCTTGGGGTGCATCCGTGACAGGATCAAGTGACTGTGCACATCCGTGACATGTGCCAAGACCAAGTCCTCCCTAGCCTCTGCCCCACAATATCCTGAGCCCCTTGCCACCACAGATGTGTGTTTGGTGGCATGATCCTGTGGTCTGCCTGTTGGATGTTCACACAGGTCACCTGCTCGGCACTGGCCTCTGCATGAGGCCTCCACTGCTTTCTGGAGGCAGAGCTGCGGGTCTCAGTTCTCGGGCTGGGTTCTCATTTCCAGCTGTGGGTCTGGGGTGAGCTGGGAGGGGCTGGTGGCTGTGGAGCGTCTGCACTTGTCCAGAGTTGAGAATGTCCTGTTGCCCAGGCTCGGCAGGCATGTGGGGAAGCATGTGCGGGGAAGGCCACCATGATGGTTCGCTTCTGTGTGCTTCAGAATGGATCTCGCACCTATTTCCTCATTTCCTGTTTCCAGTACACGTGGACAGTAGAGGCTGACCTCTTATAAGGAGGTCACATGGCCAGGGGTTTAAAGGAGGCCACCATGGGCACCCTGGGTCTAGCATGTCAGAGGATGCCAGAAAGCCCTGGTGAGCCTGGGTGGACCTGGTGCAGATCTCAAGTTGGGGGACGGAGGAGGAGAGGCTGTAATGGGAATGCAGCTTGCTGATGTGTGCCTGGTCTGGAATGTTCTGTGGCTTCCTCTGCATGAGCTCGTCAGTCCTTGCAGTGGTGCCACCACTCTTCTGCAGATTAGGAGACTGGGGGGATGGGGTTAGTGGACTTTCCAGGGTCAGGGTGAACCAGGGCCTAGCTGGGGTTTGACCCGTCATCAATCTCCCTCTCCCCACCAGCACACACAATCACTCACCTCTGGACCTGCTGGACCCGTGTGGCCTTGTGCCGACTACTCAGGCTGCCTCATGCCGTGAAGACCGGTGTCCGCCCCCTCACACTGGACTAGGAGTCTTCTAAGCATAGGCCTGTGTCATTACCACCTGGTATCCAGGCCCCACATACCCCCATGGTGATGACGTGTTTCTGGAGGAGGGAGTG